TTAGGGGAAAACATGAGACAGCGAGCCACCTCGAGAAGGTGGCGGTTCTTGCGTTCGAAGATCCCATTTTGTTGAAGTGTGTCGACGCAAGAACTTAAATGGATAATGCCTTTAGAGGAGAGATAAGAGCTGAGGACGGAAGCAAAGTACTCCTTTGCATTATCAGTCTTGAGTGCCTGGAAGGAGGTTTGGAATTGTTTTTGGATCATTGAATAAAATTGTTCAAATATGTGACCGACTGCAGATTTATCTTTCATAAGAAATAACCACGTTAGTCAAGTGTGATCATCAATAAAGGAGACAAACCAACGAGTCCCGGTAAGGGTTGTAACACGGGATGAGCCTCAGATATTGCTATGAATGAGTGCAAAGGGTCGGGAAGAGGTGTAAACAACCCGTGGAAATGACGTGCGAGTGTGTTTGACAAGTTGACAAAAATCACATTGAAAAGAACAAACATCTTTATTGATAAATAAATTTGGAAATAGTTTTGCAAGATACATAAAATTTGGATGGTCGAGACAAAAATGTCATAACATGATCTCAGAATCTTTATTGACACTAGAATTGAAGACAGAATGATGGGTAGACAAATGTCCACAGCGAGGTCGTGATAGTGAAGTACCGTTGATGACGTAGAGACCCGAGCACATCTTAGCATTGCCAACCGTCATCCCTGAGTCTGTATCCTGAAATTCACATATAATAGAGAAAAATTTAGCAATACACCTCAGATCACTAGTTAACTTTCTGATTGATATTAAATTGTAATTTAAAGTATGAACATGAAGCACAGAGCAGAGTAGAATGTTTTGGGTGATGAGCACGGAGCCAAAGCCGGTGACTTTGGAGACAGAGTCATCGACAACGCGGATGGTGGAGGTGTCTTCGCACAATATAGTCATGGAGAAGGGAGACATCGTTAGTCATGTGATGAGAAGTGCCGGAATCGATGATCCACTGACCACTGACCGGGGGATCCTTGATTGACTGTGAAGGCATGGTAGAACGTACCTTGATGGGCGAGCAGGCCGGTGATGGGGTAATGGGGTTGGGAACAGCCAGATCATGTGGTTTGCCGATCAGTTTGTGCAACAAATTTAGTTGCTCTTTGCTGAATGGGTTGGGCGCTGGTGCAGGAAGGTCATCGGCAGCGACGGCGCTGGTGGGACGGGGGGCGGGGCGCGATCAGACGGGATCAGACTGAGGCTTCCAATCGGCTGGCTTTCCATGAAGCACCCAACACGTGTTTTATTATGGTCTGGTTTGCGACAATGGTCGCACCAGGGACGACCTTTGCGTGATGGGTTGTCGCTGTGTCGAGGCGGAGGAACCCGAGCTGCAAGGGCGGCTGCGTCTGCGTCAACGAAGAGATTGGGCGAGGTGGAGGTAGGCCCAAGCATGACTTTCTGGTGGCTTTCTTCGTGACAAACCTCAGAGAATTTCTCACGAATGCTTGGTAGTGGTTTGAAGCTTAATACACGAGAGCGGACGTGATCGAGAGAGTTGTTAAGGCTGAGAAGGAATTTAAAGATCCTTTTTTGCTCGATGATCTGACGGTATAAGTTGTAGTCTGAAGTGCATGATTAGGCATGGACTTCATACATGTCAACCTGTTGCCAGTAACGTTAGAGGACATTAAAATACTGAGTCATAGATTGATCACGTTGGAGAAAATCGTGGAGGATTGACTCGATCTTGAAGAGCTTGGATGTGTTATTTGAGTGAGAGTATGTCTCTCGAGCAGCATTTTAAATACTCTTGGTCGTGTCGTAGAGAAGAAAATTTTCACTAATGTCGTTGGTCATGGAATTGATTAACCACGACATGACCATGTGCTTTTCTGCATTCCATATTCAGAATAATTTTGGGTCATCCTTGATCGGAGCAACAACATCACCGGTGATATAGTCGTCCTTGTCTCTGCCGCAAATAAACATCATGACGGATTGTGACCAGTGGCGGTAGTTCTGGCCGTTGAGTTTGTGGCCAGTGATGAGGGAGGAAGTGTCATCGATTCCGGTTGGAACATGGGCAGATGAGACGTATGATATTTCTTGGGATGATGAAGAAGAAGTTGTCATACCGATGAAGATTGGTATGGCTCTGACACCATGAAAATGTATGAGAAGACTTAATTTTATTGATGAAAAGAGGGGTATAAATACCCATTACAGGAATTATTGGTAAGGACAAAAATAAAAACAAAATACAGTAGAATAGGAAAAGAATAATAATAAAATATAAGAGACAGTTGATTTCTCTAATTTAAGATTCCCGCATCTAAAGTGGTATACATGTGAATGTCTATGCCTAGAGAATTAAATGGAGATTCCCTAGAACCCTCATATAATTTATAACCCTCTAAATATAGAGTTATAATCAATATGGAATATAATAATTAATATTTTTGAGATCTTTCAACAACTTGAATATCAACAATTTTTGAAAATTAAGTTTCACTTATCTTTATTGTAGTTATTGTTGTCAAGCAGCAAAAAAATCGGAAAATTTAAATACATACATAAAAAATGCGAGCACGAATCTTAATGAGGTTTGACAACTGACAAAAACGATGACAGGGCTAACTGATACCGACCCAAAGCAGTTCAAGGGCCCCTGTCAATCCGACCGGCATCTACAGGCTGGGAAGGAGGTAATTTAAGGACAAGCATAATTTAGCTATGAGCACGAATCTTAATGAGGTTTGACGACTGACAAAAACGATGACAGGGCTAACTGATACTGACCCAAAGCAGTTCAAGGGCCCCTGTCAATCCAACCGGCATCTACAGGCTGGGAAGGAGGTAATTTAAGGACAAGCATAATTTAGCTGCCTCTCTTAAAATCTGACGGCGCAAAACTCATGCGGGTGAACTAGCCGACATTCTTCAACCAAGTTGGGAGAACAATGAAAATCGCCCGCATCTAAAGTGGGCGGCCCAGGGTTTGTTGGTCCCCCCTTCAGTCATAGCTCCCCAAAAGATGGCACGGTCAGTCGCTCCCTTAGGGCCCCCGACACATGGCCGCCCAACACAAAATTCAATCGGATGCCTTATCGGACTCCCGGCCCCGTCCGGTCGGACGCCATTGCAAGCACTCGACTATATAAGTATGTATTGACCAAAAAGCCCCACCGTACTTTTTTTTCTAGGGATGCAGAATTTTATTTAACATCTCCATTTCCTATAAATAGGGTCTTATTCATGAATAAATGTTACGTGATTTTACCGTTCATTGTCAAATTCTCTGCTCTCTTCCTCTCTCTCGTGCTATATTCTTTAGATGCGTCTCTCGAATAATTTTGGATTCAACAACTTATATACAACCCAAATCCTAAATATTTACATATCTAACATACATTTTACATTTATACCATGCAATCTTTCACATCACATAAAAAATATCGATATTTTAACTTTAAATAGTGAAATACACTTTTTTATCCATAAATAAGGCAACATATATTTAAAAATTTAGCTTTAGGTGTTAGATACGTCTATACATAGGAATTAAGAGGTATGCATGTGAATATCTATGCCTTTTTTTGTCTATGATGTAGTTTTAAGTTTTATACCATTCGATATTCAAAATATACCAATATACTTTGTCCCGGTTATCTTATATAACATGTCTTGTTTTTATTGAATGTGATGCTCACTAGTGAGCTTACTTTATTAACTTTCATGTGGATCATTTTATTTAATCCGGACATTTTGTTTAGTATCAGCCTATACAAATACCAAATTAGTCTGTAGATTCTTTTAATGGAGGATGAAACAGTCCTTTTCAAAATTTCTTGGTGCTGTTTTTTGCTCATATTAAATGAGCCTGGGATTAATTTGACACTTATAAACTCTGGAATTTGACACTTAAGAGACTATTTTGGCACCTCTGTTTTTTAGGGGCATTTACTTACGTATCACAAATCTTATGGATTTACATATCTAACACCCAAACTGCTAAAGTGTTCTAATTTGTAAATATCAAACTTCATGTTTTAGATATGTAAATCCATAAGAAATTGTGTGATTCGTGATGAAATTTCCCTTTTTCGTTTTTTGGGCATCCAAGTAAAAGCTAAACATTTGTAATTTTGTGTATTACAGGTGGTGTGCTTGATAGGCTAGATAGTTATTTATTCACAGGTGCTCTGTGCTATTCATTTGTGAAGTTTGCTCTTCCACTCTTCGGTGTTTGATTTTATCAAAATCTTTGCTTCTTCCCTGCAAATAAAGCACAAATCTTATGACACTGCTGAAGAAACAAGCCTGGACTTCAGGTAACGTAGAGTTTCTTCAATACATTTTCATCATTTGATTTCTTGTATAACTCCATATAAATAAAGGGTCATTTACATTCATACCATCCAATTCATATGTATTTATATATCTAACGGCTAAAATTTACTTTTTACATTTACACAACCCAAATATTTCATCTCACATAAAAAATACTCCCATTTTAACTTTTAACAAGTGAAATACACTTTTTCATTGATTGGTTTGGTGGCATACATGTAAAAATTGAAATTTAGGTTTTAGATATGTTAACGCATAGGAATTGAGTGGTATATATGTGAATTTTCTAGAAATAAGTTTCATGTAAACCATCAATGAGGCTGTAATTGAGCCGAGTATATTGCAGTTTCGACTTGGCTTGGTACAATAATAAGTTCATGTTTGGCATGTGCTTGTGTCAAACTTTCACATATTGTTCAAATTTGACTTGTTTAAATTAAACTTTCACATATTGTTCAAATTTGACTTGTTGAAATTTTATGATGTTTGAGCTTGATTTGTGTTTGATTTGTTTATGACAAGTGAACTAGTATCTAAACGAGTTAAAAATTCGAATGAGTATCTGAATTTTCATATGAAAAACATAATAAATAATTTTATAAATCTAAATAAATAAACAATTGAATTAATCTTATCAGCAAACGAGCAAACAAACTATAATAGATATATTCCCACAAAAATGAATTCTGAGATGTGTTTGACTACCCCATAGGATTTAACTTAAGTAGGATTTAATAAATCTTGTAAATCTGATTTATCAAATCTAAAAGGGTTAAATCCAAAAAAAAAAAAAAAAATTGTTTGGTTCGATTTAGTTTAAATCGAACTAGATCTCTTTGAAGTGTTTGGGGACGAGAGACATGATTTATTTTCTTCCTCAATAAAATCTGTTAAATCCACCTAATAATCGGATTTAATAAATCTAGGATTTATATCAAAATGGATAAATATTTGGATTTACAGAAAGCTTGTTTTTTCGTGTTTGACTGATTAAAGTTACATATTAACTTAATCAGTGATAAACTTGCGTACCAAACACGCCCTAGGATAGAGAGAAGAATATTGAAACAAGAGCAAAAAATATGAATGAATGAGTATTATAAAGTAACTTATAATGTGAAATTATTCATTAATTGTAAAAATAATTGGGAAAAATAAAAGACAGCTAGATCAAGCATAATAAAAGAGAATGAACAAAAAGTGTTGTTTACTTTCAGAAATCCATCATGTTATTTTTCAAATAGTTAATAATTGATGACAACATAAATATATAACTAATAATTAATCAAAAAATATTATTGATATAATAATATGTTGCTATTAAATCTATACTTGAATAAATTCTAGCTAACCAAAATTTAGTCAAGTAATTTACATCTATGATAGGAGCTATATTCGAGCTTAAGATTGACTTTATATCAAGTTACTTATAGAACATCAAATGTGTTTGCTATTGAACATAAATGAACGAGTTAGACTATGTTCATGTTTAGTTCATTCAATATTTGAGTTTTTATAAAGTTGTTCAAGTTTGTTTATTTACTAATTTGAATGAACATGATCAAATCTTAATCGAGCCGCGTTTAAGTTGTTCATCAAGTGCATTGGTTCATGTACAGCCCTAACCATCACCCATTTTGGCTTCAACGAAGGGAAAGAACTGTATATAGACCTGTTTGCCAAGGTAACACTGCTATCTTCTTAACAATTTCTTTTTGGAATGATCATAAAATGCCTCTTTGTTTAAGAAGCCTTAATGTTCATGCTCTTAACGAGTTTTTTAGAGCATTTTATTTTTAGAGCATTTTCCTCTTTTTTTTTTTTTTGCAATGATTGTTATGTTGTAGCTTTTTTAGAGCATTTTCCTTCTTTTTTTTTTTTTTTTTTTTTTTTTTTTTGCAATGATTGTTATGTTGTAGCAATTCAAAAGATTGTAGCGGTTTCGGTTTATGTATTTACATATCTAACACCTAAAATTTGCATACATACATACCACCTTACCTATGTATGAAAACACATATTTCACTTTTTAAAAATTAAAATGGTGCTATTTTTGTTGTGATATGAAAGATTTTGGGCGTTATAAATGTGAAATGTTAGAAATGTAAATGCATGTAAATTGCATTTGGCTTATTGTGATACACATAAATTGTGTGATGTGCTGTTTGATTATGCTTATGATTATTATTACTATTATTAGTAAGTGGACCCCGCTGACGCAATGCGGTGGCGGGTGGTGGAATGTGGTAGGTTATTGAATTATTCAAAATGATAAGTCAACCTAAGATATAGAAATAAAAAATTGGCCAACTCTATCTAGAATGTTTTAAAATTTTTAGATTTACTTTTAGATAATTATTTAATAAATCTTAATTAATTGTTAACGAGAAAACACGGAAAGTACGGGGAGTATTTTCCCCAAAAAAAAAAAAAGTATAGCCAGTTTGGGGCAGCTTGTAAGTGTGGGTCGTTTTTGAAAAAGTTGTCTAACCGTTTAGTTTGTTTACTGCTTGCTGTGATTTTACACTCATTGCAGGCTGCGGGTAAACCTCCGCGGCTTATCCTGAAACGGACGAGTTGTCCCAAACAAATCCTGAATTTAAATTTTAGCTCAGTTATATAAAAAAAATAATATATATATATATATATTATTCGCATATTTTAATATTATTTATTGGTGAGAAGGAAGGTGGCTTTTGATAAGATAAGGGGTCCTGTCATATCACTATTTAATTTATTAAACAAAAGTGAAAAAATTACAAGACGTTTGCTTATAATAGTTGTACACAAATTTTTGGTGGATCCCACAATCTAGATAAACGTTATATTTGGGCAGCTTTTGTTATTTAAAGAAAAGCTGTAAAAAAAATGTTTATTGTAAATATATTTTATTTTAAAAAAATTAAAATTATAATTTTTTGACAGCCTATCACATTTTACAAGAAAATATGGACTCCTGACGTAGCTCTACGTGCGGTGCAGAGTATTCTTGAGTTATTTTCAGATTATTTCTTTGTTATTTTTAATAATCCTGAAATAATTCAGAAATAACTTGAGTTCTTTATTTTTGGGTTATTTTTTTGTTATTTCAGGATTACTGAAAATAACTCAAGAATAGCTTGCACCGCACGTAGAGGTACGTCAGGTGTCCAGATAGAAAATGCGCTCCACATTTTAAGAGTACAAATTCAACAAGAAAGTATTTCTAAAAACAATTATAATGGCAGTAATAAAATGGATGGTTGGCTATATATATATATATATATTGTAATAGGAATTCAAAAAATATAAAAATAAATATAATTAGCAAAAATGTGAAATCAAGATGTGTATTAAATTATATTTATATATACATGCGTTATGTATTCAGATTTGTTGATCGAGCATTTGTCTGATTGTTATAAGTCACATCTGGCCTGGCGTTCGATTGCCTCCGAGTGTAGGTTGTGATACTCGAATTGTTAGGTAGCTTAAAGATGATCGGGACTCGTATAATAGCATTTGTATATATACATATATATTTACGCACTAGTATATGCCAGTTTGATTTGTGTTAAGGAAAAAAAAAAACGCCCTTCGTTTCTTTTTGCTGTTGAAAAGATTTATAAAAAGAATAAAGCTTTCATAAAAATAGAAAATAAAAATTACTTTCAAAAAAGGCATAAAAGCACGTGGCACTCTGTAAATAATATATTTTTAAAACGCATCCCATAAATTAAAAGAATAATCTAAATTAAACATGTTGCCGTTCAGGTGGCAACAAAAGGCCTCGTCGGACATGGTCCAATCTTTTTTTTTGGAAATAACGCATGCCAGTTTTTAAAAATTTGTCCATAAAAATAATTATTTATAGATAACAAGATGTTTTTCCGTAGCTTAAATTGTAATCGAATTAAAATTATATTTTTTATTTTATATTAAGCAAAATTTTAAATATTTTTCTCCTAATTATTTGTTATATTTTATTTTATTAGTGCACTAGTTTGAAAGTGATGCGTGCTAGAAAATTCGCGGCGGTAGAGTAACAAATTATCGTCTTAGTGCTGTGCGAAAGTGGAGCGCACACATAAATGAAATAGAAATAAACGGTGATGACTCTAGAAGTTTTTACGTGGAAAACTTGTTAGGGAAAAACCACCTGGCCCAGTTGCGGAAATCCACTATTTATTGATGATTGCAGAAATCTCTTGTCCCGCAGACGGGAAATGATAACTATATTTTTCATATTACAATGTCGACTGACGACGTCTGATTTGTGGTAATTGATGACGGTCGGTGGAGGTTGACGACGGTCGGCGATCGACGGCGGTCGACTACAGAGGTCCGCGGTGATTGACAACGATTGGTGGTGATGCTGAGCTGCAGCTTCTCCTCAAGACCTCAGACTCTCTTTCTAGACTTCCTCCTCCCTCCTGAGAGGGATGAGACTCTATTTATAGTGTTCTGGGTGCAATTAATGCAGAAATATGAACCATTTTGATTGGATGGTCCGGAGAGCTTCCCTCGATCATACGGTGTTTAATGGACATTTGAGTGTCTTAGTGATGTCAGAATTGAGTTATCTCGGGCTCGTTGGATTCGTCTTGTTGAGCCGCTCGATTTGAGTATAAACTTGCTATATTTAACAGTCGTTTGACTTTTCAAATGTATTCATAAATTTTCTAACTGTGGTTTAATGACTTGATTTAGGCTTGATTTGACTTGGATTGTGCTAATTTTCATATCATTAGGTCCGTCTCATTGAACATGTCGGTTTTACTATAAGTTTGCTGAAATCAGAGGGGGTTCGGAACTCCAATATCAACGGGGATGACAACTTCGGTGCCGAAACACAAGTTATATGGGGTTTCCTTGGTATGAGTTTGCACTGTGGTACGATAGGCCCAGAGGACGTTATACAGCTCTTCTACCCACTGCCCCTCAGGCTTCTCGAGACGAGTCTTCAACCCCTTGAGCACAATTCGATTTGTCACCTCTGTCTGTCCATTCGTTTGGGGATGCACCACAGCAGTGTGCACCAACTGTGAAGATCCTTGCAGAATGATATGAAGACCCTACCATTGAATTAAGTCTCATTATCAGTGATAATCTTTGCAGGAAACCCAAAATAATAGATGATGTTTTTCCAGACAAACTGTTTGGCATTAGCCTCAGTGATATTGGCAAGAGGCTCTGCTTCAACCCATTTGGTGAAGTAGTGTAGTCGACAGGAAGTAGTCGACAGCTAAGATGATGAATTTTTATTGTCCAGTAGCTATCGAAAATGACCCCATGATATCTATCCCCCATTGGGCAAAAGGCCAAGGACTCAAAAAAGATGTGAGCTCTACTTGTGGTGCATGCGTGAGATTGGAGTGTAGTTGGCAATTCTTGCATTTTTGCACAAAATCTAATACATCTTGTTTGATCGTGGGCCAGTAGAAGCCTTGCCTCATTATTTTAAGAGCAAGTGTCCTGCCACCAAGATACTCCCCACATATTCTGGAATGAACTTCTCGTAGAGCGTAATCAGTTTCAGATGGAGGAAGACACTTGAGATATGGACCTACAAATGCATTTTTATACAGTTCATTCCCGATAAGGATGAAATTGACAGTCATGCGTTGGATATGAATTGATGTAGTAGCATCATCTGGCAGTTTTCCGTCTCGGAGGAAGGAGATGATGAGATCCATCCAAGGTGGCTCCTCTGGGTCATTTATAGACAATATCACCCATGGGCCATGGATGCTAGGAAAATGTATCTCCTCAATATACCTTCTTTTATAGAGATCTCCAGTTGTTGAAGTTGCAAGCTTAGAGAGGGCATCAGCTTGGGTGTTATGCTCCCGAAGTATGTGAATGAGCTGGTATGTTTCAATTTGGGCAAGAAGTGTTTTTACCAGACTGAGATACTGCACAAGTTGCGAGTTATGAGTGCCAAATTCTCCTTCTACTTGGGATGCGATGAGTTGAGAATCAGTGTAGATAATCATGTTTTGTACTTCATAGTTGATGACAAACTTTAATCCAGCAACAAGTGCTTCATATTCAGCAACATTATTGGTGGCTGGGAATTTTAAACGAAGTCCATACTCCAAAATTTCTTTCTTTAGGGAGATGAGTAGTTTACCTGCACCAGCTCTTGAGTTTCTTGATGCTCCGTCTACGTATAGTGTCCAGTGAGGTGATCGTGGAAGAGAAGAGGGTGGTTTATCAGAGGTAGACAATATACATTCTACCACAAAGTCGGCTAACACCTGTGATTTGATGTTCAATCATGATAAATATTGGATGTCAAATTCTCTCAATTCCACCGACCATTTAACTAGTTTTCTCGATGCTTCTGATTTTTGTAGGATAGCCTTCAAAGAGAGTTGTGTGTAGACGTCAATAGTGTGACCTTAGAAGTACAAACGTAGTCTCCTTGCTGAGAATATCAGGGCTAGCGCAGCCTTGTCTGTCATTTGATAACGACTTTCTGTATTAGAGAGAATCTTACTAACATAACATACTGGTTTCTCGACTAAGTTTTCTATTCTGACAAGAACAGAGCTTATTGCATGAGGTGAAATAGCCAAATAGATAAATAACATCCCTCCTTGGATTAGCTTTGAGAGGAGGGGCGGAGCAGCCAAATATGCCTTGAGTTGCTCGAAAGCACTCTGACAATCATATGTCCATTGAAAATCGGTGTTTCGAGCACCTCTGAGTATCTTAAAGAACGACAGATACTTATCCCCAGAACAAGCTAAGAAGCGGGATAAAGCAGTTATACGACCATTCAACCACTGTACCTCTTTGATG